CCATGCTAAAGAATTGTCAAACAAGCCAGTATGTTGTTTATAATGTAGTAATTGTGACCAAAATTTTCTAAAAAAAAATTTAATTTTTTTTGTGTTACATTTATTACTATGTACAAAAAAAATTACATGCGCATGATTTCAAAATTACGTGCGCACGATGCGCACAATGCAGTGCGCATTGGAACATCTCTAATCGTGTAACTGATTCAAACCGCTCAAACCGCTTTCAAACCGCTTTTAGTAAAACTCCCCCCATCCCTACCAATTGGGAGGTTTTTAATTAAACAGTCTATTTGATTATCTTTAAATTTTTTATCAGGATTAATTGATAAAGAATTTAATATAAATCTTGAAAAATAAAAATTACATTGTTTAAAGAACAACTCCAACATCAAAAAAAAAAAAAAAGTCGTCATCACCAAACTCTAGTGATTTGTTCACCGCGATGCTAGTAATTTGACAATAAGAGGATTTAGGATTATTATTTTTTCTTTGTTTTTCTATTTTCATCATCTTTAAATCTCATAAAAACCTACATTACACATACCAATATTGACCAGCTTATGTGTGTTTCAAACCCAGACACTAAAGTCAGCTCAAGTGTTAATTTTATAGTGTATTTATTATTACGCATAGTTAACTTCAAAGCCAAAAAACGAAAATACAACTCTACATATCAATATTGACATGCCTACGTATATTTCAAACTCAGACGCCAAAGTATGTTTTTATTTTATTAATAATATCATTTTGTATTAATTATTATGTGCAATCAACAAAAATCGAAAAAATATCAAGTTAATACTGCGTGTTTCAAACTCAAACACTAAAGACAATTTGATTTTTTTTTTTTTTTACAAAATGTATGATAAAAGAAGAAATACACTCCCTGGACAAAATTTTCGGTCACCACAAAACAATTAATTACGCAAAAAAGTACATAATAAAACACAAATAAATTTCATCAAATTGTGGCTAAAGTTCTCAAGAATATGTATGCAAAATTTCAAATTTTTGTAATGTTTGGGAGAATAACAGTTAAAAAAATAAAAAAGTTCGGCTAAAAATCTTCTGAAAATCGTAGTTTGCCAAAAAAAAAAACAGTTTCTCAAAAACTTACATAATAACCACACCTGAAATCGTGACATATGAAAGATTAGATTCTGAAAAATTATGTCATATGTTTTTTATACAAATTTTTTTGTAAAAAATTGTTTTGAAATTTTTGAAATTTTTGATAAAATTAAAAAATGTCAAAGGAAAAAATCGTCAACAATCGGATTGAAACAAAAAAGTAAAATTTTGAAAAATTGGTCAAGTCAATCTCCTGGTTTGAATCCAATAGAGCATCTGTGGAATCTATTAGAAGTTCGTATTCGGAAACCTCCAAATAAATTTAAAAATAATGTTGAACTTGAGACCGCTTTACATGAAGAATGGAATCAAATTCCTAGAAATATTT